TTTCATTATTGACATCGCAATGTGTCGTCGGAATACGCAATATCGATATCGCATATCGTACGATGACTATTCGAGGTTCCAATAGCTACGTGTTTTCGGTATCCATCATATGTGTATCGCGATACAAGAGATAGTAGAGTAAAGTAATTGAAGTTGCTCAATTACGAGTTCATATAAATGAACACTCAACATTAATTGATTCGTAGAAGCGAAGTTTATTATAATATTCTATTAAATTTGTGTTAACTGCTTTGTTCTTATTTCAACATAATCTTGTTTCGGCCTCTATAATAACATATAATAAAATATATAATACCCAGCTACAACTAACCTAACGCTTTGCATTAGTTACAAAATATGAAGCACTGTTCTCTCTCTCTCTCTCTCTCTCTCTCTCTCTCTCTCTGTCTATATATATATATATATATATATATATAAAATATAACAATTTAATTTATATATATATATATACACATATATATAAATTAAATTGTTATATTTTAACATAGTCAGATATTTAGATAGGCTTCTAGTTATATTGTTTAATTAGGTTCGTAGAATTGTATGTACATATGTATTTGCATAAAAATCCGTAGTCTAATTACAACTTAATGCTTGATCCCGAATGAATTGACAGTTACGCAACAGTAATTTATTTTTCTAGGTAACATTCTGGAATTCATTTGCACATGAACGTAAACTTGTTGGGGAATAGATTTAGTTTATACAATTCTACTGTTCTACTTTATACTGTTCATATAATAGATTTAAATTAGTAAATTCAAGCAGCAAGAATTCTGATTGAAATTTCAGATAGGTGGAGTTTTATTGTATACTTGTTTCTAAATGTTTCACTTTATCGAATAATGAATGTACATTAATATATTCTTTTCTCTACACGTATTCTTTTTTTCCTGCTTTATTATTACAAATTTTAAAATCACGTAAATGTATGTACCAGCTAAACATCGTGTAACGCATGTATACAAAAAGAAAGATCAAAAATTGTTAAGATTAAGCAGGGTTTTTTCATATTAACATTGGCACGAAGAATATTTTAATATCTTTTTTTTTTACATTTTCTAGAGATATGTAATATCTTGTGTGAAGTGATAGATGCGACTATTTAACATTTGATTTACGACTATCGTGCGAGAATTTAATATTTAATATTTAGTAAAATTTAGTTTACATTTACATTTTATATATCTTTATGTATTTTTATACGGTCTATGTGACTTTGTATTTCAATGATACCAAATGTATTTAAGTAATTTTACATGTATTTTAAGGAATTATTCGTTGATCTATCGCTTTGGTCGTGAATTTTTACAAAAGATAGAAAACATAAATTTAAAGTTATCAAGCACTATGATCGAATTAATTGATCGCCTGGTAATGGAAAACGTCGGATTAAAAAATCTATTTTAACCGAATGTCTCAGCAAGGAGATGGCAAGACCTCCAATAATCAGTTGCAATGTCAGAGTTATCACTATTGCCAATACACCGTACTGTATAGCGTACTCACTGGCGGAGAAAGAAATTTAGTCAAATGCGAGATATAACTAATAGCCATAAAATAGTGTTGTAAAAATACAGCTATACTACATAAAGACGACCGATACATTTTACCATTAAACAATGGTAAGAAATCAGACTATAATGGCAGTAATCATGGTTATGATATTCAGTTTGATGAACAAGACTACTGATCCAGAAACATGTTTTCGATGACACAAAAATGCAGAAATATTTAATCCAGATCTTTGTTTGAGAACTAACATTCCAATTCTTCCTGGTTCTAATCTACTTCTTTTTTCTGTCGACGATAATGTCGGATATATTGAAAAGTCTTTCAATGTATATCGTTAGTGATGGTATAATAAGACATTTTTCTTATATAATTTCTTTAGATTTGAATATTTTACATTATTGCTCTAGAACTGCGATTGATCGCACATCTGTTTATTTCCTTAAAATATAAATGAATTAGACTTCTTCATTTATATTGTAAATAGTTCTTTAGTCATTGATTTTATACTTTTCTTATCTGAGTTTCGAGCTTCGAATCAAAAACACACAAAGTTTCAACATTTCAATACTAATCTCCATTAATACATTAATAATCTCTTAATTTCATTAATTCTAATCATCATTAATTCTAATAATATCTATTAATACACTCACCTTGACAATAGACTTCCTTCTTCTCACTCTTTCTCTTCGGTTTTAATTACTTACGGTGAGTCTGAATTTGCCTTGTTTTGTTTAAATTTGTTTAAATTTGGCGCTAAGCAATTTCAAATGTTGAGCAAACAACGAAGACAGCAGTAACACATGATCGCTGCTGTTAGAAGATCGATTTCCTTCGCTGCATTGATCTTTCTGCGTTGACTATTTCGATTGTCATTTCATGTGGTCAATCTATTCTCTTGAACTACTATTCCAGCTTGTCTACTACCACTATCCTTTAGTTATAACTTTATGCTCTTGGTGGGGGGATTAGCAGATCGTGCGATTTATGGTAGAAAGAAATTCGCGGCTCTTGGATCAGAGGATTAACGCTGATTGTTAGCTTCAAAAAATTAACAAAACAATAATCGTAAAATTAGTTGAGACTCGCAGATCAGTTATCCAAATATAATATGATTTAAATACAATAGCTTTTATGTAGAACGCCATACTCACATTAATTACTCACATTAATATTTCGATATTAAATATTTGAAATGCTGCAATGTTGCAAAAGAAGAATCGTACAACAATAAATTTGGGTTCGTTTCAAAGCTTGACGCTTTTATCCTTAAAATGCATAATTCATTTTATTTAACATCTTTACATCATCCACCGTGTGGAAAAATGAAAACACTTTTTTTCGAAAATTCTATAAATTGTCATAATATGTGAAAATATTGAAAAATTATTTTTCGTGACTGAATCTACAATAGATTTGAAGATTGAAGTTCGATTTGGTGTCCTGGTTTGCTTTCCGATAGTTTGTCTGATAATTTACGTTATTCGTATAACTTACGTTATTTTAGAGAAGGGACTAAGGCTTTACTGGCTCATTGTAATTGAGAAAACATGTTAATTCCCTGCGAATTTTAATAGCGTACAGTGTGTTATGGGCCAAGGAGCATTTTCTCGAAGAGAATTACCAAAAATATTTCAAAATACATGGACAGCAAGAGTCAATGATTTGCCCCCATCTTGGAATCCAATCCAATCCAATCCAGAAATCTTTGAAGCCGATCGGAAACAAAATGGAGGAGCTTTTTCTCCAATTTCCATCAATTCATTCTACGTAAAAAGCATTTCGATTTCGAAGCAAAATAGTTCGATCTTTCTGAACTTCCTCTAAAGTTTATTGCATCGAGTTGGAGAAACTTTCATAGTCAGCGCGATGAAACAATACTTTACTGTCACTTTATTGTAAATTCTGAGTTTCATCCAGTTCGTACATATTATTATATATCAGAGCGCGCGAACAGATATCATTTTAAATATCAGACGAAAATGATTACAACGTCAAAAGTATTACTCGAATTTTAGATTTCTATAATTTCCTCCGTTGAATCATAACACTCCACAGTAAAAGTCGTGCATTAAATATAAAGGTCGTAAAAGGGAAGCTTCAATCACCTCGTCGGTACTTCAATCTTCGAGATGATTTAATTATAAAAATGGATTTAATTATTTATAAAGCAATTTTCCATCGTTATTACATACTATAAAAACTTACAACATTTTCGAGAAGAAAGATATCTTGAAAATTTAATTTAAATTTGAAAAAGTTTGACAATTTATACGAATAAAAAACATTATATATTTGTAACATAACATATATTTAAGCAATATTCGACATACTTTTTAAATATTTTTCTTAATGCATTCGCAACATGGAATCATCTATCTTATTTAAATATTATCCAATACCAAATATCCAGTTTTATTATAGTATGCAATTTTATTGGTAATATAAATTTTTATGATTAACACGACGAATCATTGACATATTTATAACGTAACAAATAGAATATTCTGTACCAGAAACTATTTGCTTAAATAATATCAACGATTATAATATTTATAATTAGTTGAAAATTAAATCATAGCAGTCACAAACACAGAGAGGATCAAAATCTCGGAACACATGCATTGTCATCATTCTTTGTTTAATTTGCATTAATCTGAATAATGCATTAATCCGACAATAAATCTGAAGTGACAGGAAAAAGTTTCAAATTGTTTTAAAAATAATAACATCTAATGATTATAAGAAATAACGGCATAATAAATAATGCTAAAAAATTTTATCGGCTGAAGAAACTATCGAAACCATAAACGAATGGCACTAGACCATGATCAATACTTACCAAAACCAATGATCAATGACTAAAAATTACATACAAAAATACATTCTCAAAATTGGTAGATTCTCTACTACGAATAATTAAATTAAATGAGTAAAATGAATAAATAATTGAAAAATTAAAAAAAAAAAAACAAAATAGGTATGAATTGGGCAAAAAATTTATGATGAGAAAAAAATGAAAATCTTGGCGTTTTCTTGTCAGAGTTTATTTGATTATTTATAGAACAAGAATTGGCGATAATGTAATTGATGAGAAATGCATGTATCAGTACGTTCAGAATGACGCTTTGAGATCAACTGCAAAACGCGGACCCAGTGTTCATTTGTTTAGTTGACGACAAAAGACAATGACACTCACACGCTCGCATCATTCATCGATATATTCCAACAGTTTCTTTCGTTATTTCAAATGTTGTGTAGTGTTTGCTTGTAAAATTAAGGCATTTTTAAAAAAACAATTTTCAAAATAAATACAAATTCTCAACTTAAATATTTTCGTTTGTACCATAATATAATGAAAGAAGCATTCAGTAATTATTTGTTCTTTCTTATCATTATACTGGCAGCAGTGAGTTTCTTCTTTCTTTTTCAACTAGTGAGGGAATAAAAAGGAATATTTCAACATGAAAGTCCAAATGTATCAAATGGACCGTGTGCAAGTCACATTGCCTAATTACTCTTATGTGCTGAATTTTGAGAAGAATTTTGTTCATGCAGAGAGTCAAGCGTTGATTAAAGATCATTTTCCAATCTGTTTCTACTATTGTGCTATTTACATCCTGCTAGTTTTTGGAGGATGTCGTTATATGTCAAACAGAACAAAATTCGAACCAAGAGGCCTGCTTACTTTATGGAGCATAGTACTTGCACTACTATCTATTTTTGGTTTTAGTAGAATACTTCCGGTATTTTACCACGTATTAGAGCATCACAGGTTCTACCACAGCCAAGTTTGTATACCTCGGTAATTGCATTATAATATCTAATTCTTTAAAATAGTGTTTTACGATTTTTATATTTGACATTTAAAAACATTAAAAAAAAGATTAAAAAGATTAAAAAGATTTTATTTTAAAAGTATAAAGATCCAAATAAAAATCAAATTTCGTATAATTGTTCATAATGTTAATTATAAAACAGTCTGTTCGTTAATAGTTCTACATCACAAAAACTTATTTATTACAATTTTTATATAGTAATTGTGTGAAGTATATCAGTCATTCTGTGAAGTATATTCTGTATAATAATTTTTCAGTTGAATTAGGACGTAATAATTGTGAAATATGAATTATAAAGGGTGTCAGAAAATACATTAATTATACGCGTGATTCTAAATATTAAAACATGATTCACTTACAAAGCGAGACCAAAATTTGGACTTAAATAAATATTTAAATAAATATTTATATTATTTTACTTTAATTCAATTATAGATTAAATTAGATTATGTCGCATTGAAATATAACACCACTAGCAAATCTAATTTTTTAAAATTAATGTTCACTTTTATTGATATAAGATAAAAAACTAAATTCTAAATTCTCAAAACGCGATTCTGAGCTGTGTAAAGTTCCGGAACTCACGAAGTCGGAGTTTTCGAAACTCGAAACTCTCGAAATTTGAAGTGCTGATTTTATTTCAGGGATTTATTCTTTCAAGAACTGGAAGAACTGGAACCATCACTTTTATATCAGTTATTATTAATCACAATTAAGCAAAATACAAACCAAAACATAATAACATATAAAAATATCTAATCCAGATTCTTATTTAATATTAGAACTATCGACAACTAAAACATACTAAAACATACAGTATCCGTCAAGGAAGAAAATGAAGAAAGCTTTAGAATATGATGGAATACAGAAGCTTTTATTTATAAATTTTAAATTATAATTATATATACATGAACATAACATTATTGTAGTGAATAATTGTAGTGAATATTGTACTGATTATTTAAATAATGCCATAATATAACATTTTATAACAAAATATAATAAATATAAATATAAAATAAATATAATAAATATAATAAATGTAAATATAATTTATAACATTTATAATAAAATATAATAAATATAAAATAAGTGAATAAATGAATATAGTAAGTATAATAAATGTAATCAATATAATAACAAAATATAAAAAATAATTTTTGCATATGTGACTCTAATAATATAACGAACTGATCTTATCGACTTATTAAATTCATTACAATTAGAATTTTTCACCAATAATAGTAAACATTAACTTTTAAAAAATAAACCTTTCTTTTATCTAAAAACAATATATATCAGAAAATGAATCTGTAGTATGTTTGGTGTTAACTTACATTCATAATACAATTAATTACATTTTTTACAGACATTTCACACACAATCCACATACATGTGGAGTTTGGTCATGAATATTTATCATCACGAAATTACTAGAATTAGACGACACTGCTTTCATCGTGTTCCGGAAGCAGCCATTGATATTTCTACGCTGGTAACCATTATGTATCAGTTCTTCTTTATACATGGTTCTCGTTTGTAGAAATCGTAGAATTCAGCATGTGATTTAGCATAGTGAACGTACGTATTCCTGCATGTATTCGTATTCTACTTCAATAAATCGCTATGACGCTGACTATGTATGACGCTAACAACTGTTTTGGGATATATTTATAACCATTTCAGTATATTACTATGTACAACTTTAAGCCTCAGACGTTCTAGATTGATGTACCTTGGTTACCTTATTTTATTTGCCAATTTTTTCAAACAGTATTATTAATATAACAAAAATGTAAACAAAATTGAAAAAAAAAAATCAAATCAAAACTGAGTGAAGCACGCAAATCTTTCTGTTAGGTATTAGGTATGATATTCATTGTCAATCCAAATATTAATTAATACAACCAGTGTTGGTAATAAACTATAATCCTTGCTTTTTTTTCTAAAAGAGATTCTGTTCAAACTTATATATTTCATTTAAAAAAAACATTTATTCCTGTGGAATTTGATAGAAAATAGCGTTATTTTCTTTCTTTAAAAAATATTCCAACGGAGCAAAATATTTTAAAATGTACATAAAAATTCGTTTTATCGAAACGAGATATTTGGAAAGAAAATTCTACAAAATGAGCAGAACCAAACTATTAAGTATTACTTTTATTTAACATTATTATTTCATATTGTTGAAAGTTCAAAATGAACTGTACTGTTATTCAATAACTGTTAATTAACAGTTATCAACAATGGTAGTCAAAATGCAAGCATTATACTTTATAAATACATATCTATCATATTTATATCCAGTAGTGTATTAAATGTTTCTAAGTTTGCATCATATTTTGCTTACTATGGGGACAAAATTTATCCCCATAGGACTCATGGATCACTATCATTATTGATATCCGGTCGCTTGTACAATTAGATATGTACTGATCGGCAGACAAATGAAAAGATGACGTTTGCCACGTAACGCGAGTCAATTAACCATTTGAAAGCGTTTGAGGTACTTGCTGCATCATTTTACGTTCTTTCGTAAAGAATCAACGTGACGAGATTACGGATCAAGTATTGTAAGCACAACGTGCACGTGTAGAGTTTTATCTATTCCTTTGTGTTTAACAAAATATTATTAAAGAAAATGCAGCACATTTGAACTAGTACTAGTTGGTTTAAGATGAATAAAAAATTATAGTACGATGAATAAAACTATATAATATTGTAGGAAAATGAATTAACTTTTATACTTCGAACTCCTAGTAATAATGAAGAACAAAAAGTGTTTGAAACGTTAGCTTCATTGAAGAATGACATAAAGTAACGATTCTGCCATTATAGTGCAGGTAATTTAAAATAATTTCTATTGATATTATATCTAGATAAATATAGATATTAATTGTTAACAAAATATTATTAGTTATATTAAGTAAATAGCAATTTTGTACTCATTTCTACAAGGAGTATTTGAATTTACTGCAGGTTGGAGGTTTCCTTGTTTTATGTTTGGAACGGGAGAAATATTAAAAGAGATAACACGGAGAGTTGAAATAATTTCAGCTATAACACAGATACAAATTTCAGTTGTAGCGGCTTTGGTAAACTTCCTTCTTAACCAACGCGATATTAACCTTCGAGAAAAAATCATCATCACGCTGTAAAATATTCCAAATTACATTCATCTTTAATATTGCAAATTAACAACATGGCGTTACAACCTAAAATTTCAGGTCACATTTTGTGTCATATATTAATAATCGCAAAATTGACACGTAACCATAGAATTAATGAGTAAATTAAATGATTCAGTCTAAAATTTTTTAATATATTTTAACCATGAATAATTGCTGAAAAGCTTTTGCAAACTAACATTTTTAAATGTCTGTAGGAACATAAGTGTCCGTTGAGTTGGAACATCAAAATTACGGTTCGTTCGCGTATTATTAATTAATAGGTCATTGACTTCTTTCTTATATACTTCGATATTACAAGTTACCAACGGCATACCAAATACGTTGCATTTTCAGTATACTTTGCATTACACCTGTAAAGTCATTTTATGCGATTTACAATGGGTATTTTGTTGTGAAAATTGTCGCAATGGACTGTGAAACGGCCAACTCGAATTCTTGGTTGAAATATTTTTCTGATTCTGACTGACTTCGACTGATTCTCACACACACTCGAGGCGCGGCCGCCCCTGAGTCCGCTCTTAGAATATGATTGGCTTGATTAGCCAATTATATTGGTAGGTATGGCTGTTTTAATTGTTTGCTAGAGATCATCCAAAAAAGGCAAGAAACGGCAATAAATGGCATCGATGAAACAGTTGAAATTAACCGTTTGACAACAAACAAATAAGCTCGTCGATGACCGCCGCGACGTTTCTGAGCCCTGTTTCCATGGGACCATAGGCGTGGATGGGGTCACGTTGACGGAGATAGATTTAATAAAAAATGAGAACAAATGGGTAAATTTCACTAAACAAACTATTATGTTTTATCAAGAGAAAAAGAGAGAGAGAAAAAATGATTGGACTTTAAAAGAAATAAAAAACTTTATTAATACAATTCCCACGAGTCCAGAATGATTAAAGGTAATAATGAAAGAAGTTCGAGTTATAATCCAAGACTGAGACTTTATTGAGCGTTTAGGTTTTTTTATAGTATTAGGTGTCCACCAAGTGGGGGCCGTATACACGGACCTAGGTCGCTGAATCTGCTGATTGCTAATTTTGTGAATAGGTGAGATGATCTGAGATTAAGAGTTCGAAGAATGGCTGGAAGTCTGCATCTTATTGGTGGAAAAAAATTTTTAACTGCTGGCTGCTGACAATGTCTTGAAACTCTTGCAACAACAACACCCGTAATGCATATTTGAAAAATGATTATTTAAATAATATATCATGTAATTCGACTCGCTATTATCTTGAAATAATGTAATGTTAATTCATTTCTTCAAATAAGTGTTCGTTTCTGAATTATTTCATTATCTAATTAAGTAAAATAAATTTCTATTTCATTTGTATTTTGTATTTGTTTCTACAAGTATTTGCTCAAATAATTCTATTGTACTTAAACTTCACCTTCTATTTGTTATTTCTTTTCAATGAATTCACTCAAATAAAGATTATTTGCGATCGATTTATTTAATTTAGACCCAAGATAACTGTAATACATAAGTTATTTTAAATTGTTATTTTTATTTTTATTCCAAATAAAATTTACCCAATTTTCTTGGTCTCGTTTTAAATTGTACATCAAAAAATCAATGATTATAAGTATAGCTGTAGATAAATTCAATGAAAAACAAAATATTATAAGATCCGATAGAGAGAAGTGTATATAGGGATTAGAAATGACTGGAAATGTAAATTGATCAAGGTTACTGTAAACAATAAATACATCAACAACAATAGCAATAAGTTTGTGAAATTATTAGCTATGTACATCTGTATTCGTCGAATTTTCAAATGTGAAAACAAAGCCTTCGACTCAATCATTATTGAATCTCTTGTTTCCAATCATAAAATTATTCTGACACAATTTATATCACGGCAATGCCAGCCGTGAGAAAAAAAATAATGAGAGAAAAAAAAATAATGAGAATTTAATAGTAATAATAGAATTTAATAGTAAGATCTGCAATGACACCGACAGCCAAGATGTTTGATGGTAGACATCACAAAATAACTTGAATAATGATGTCAAATGAAGGCCTATGTTATTTACATATTTTATTCAAAATTGAGTCAGTATGTACCTCGGGACAAAAAAATAGCATACTCTAGAAATGATTAAATTTTCTTTTATTAAACAAATGGTACAAAATCTTTCTTATATACATTCTTTCGTAGTGCTTTTATCA